GAGATTCTATTAATGGAAGAATTATTTTGATATTAAGAATATAAATTTAAAGATAATTTTAGTATTTTTAAATTTTAAAAATAATTTTAATATTAAAATAAAAAATTCAAAGATTAAAATAGTATTTTAACTTAAATTAATTATAGCAACGGGCGCTACTTAAATGTACAAAATAATTTTATTAAATAAAGAATATTTTTATATTTTATCCAACAAAATAAAACTTTTTAAATTTTAAAATATGAATAAGATTGTTTTAAATGAGGCATTGCAGAGTTGATGTCGCTAATGCAAGTAGATTCTTTTTTTTTTTTGGTGGATCAGCTAATGCAAGTAGATTCTCACTAACCAAATGGATTACACTTGGTATGGAACCCGAGTTTAATCTCTTTCATTTTTTATTTTTTTTTTTTGTAATCATAAATATTTTAGTTGTAGTTACTTGTAAAATAATGCAAGCATAGGTTCACATCCATACTATATTTGTGGGGATACACGTGATGCTGTTCGCCAGTACTTTTCAGCATCTGATCAAGCTAGTCGAAGAACAGAAACCTCATACTTTACATAATTCCCGTGATTGAATGTTCTACGGATAACATTTTTCTTGAATTTCTTCCTGCACATGATACTTGAATTATCTCCCTTTTACTTCTCTGGTTCGCATGATGGGGATGAAAAATACTTTTTGGATGGTTTGGATTAGAATGTTATCCAAAACTTGGCAAGAGCCTCGTAATCTTATGCTAGCTTTAGTATTGATGTTGGCCTTTTCTTTTCTTTTCTTTTTTTCTTTTTTTTTTTCTTTTTTTTTATTTATTTAAATTCTGTAACAAATACCATGTAGTGAATAGTGTTTATTAACCGAAACCTGTAAAATAATTAAGGAAAATAAATAGAAATTAGAAACTAAATGAGACGTTAATTTATGGTTTCATAAATCAAGCCATGATTGAACAAATAGGAACAAAATGCTGAAAATGAGAAAAGGGGACTTCTTTCACTTTTATTAAAAGCATATTCTTTTATTCATTAAAGAGAAGAAAAACATCAATAGAAGGTGGACTTGATTCTTATTTCTGTCGATGTCATGCTTTGCATGAATTAATTCTCATAACAGGAAAATGCTAAATTTACGTCTTGTACATAAATTTAACACAAGCCCCTAAATCCTTGACAATAAGGACTAAACCCCTTTTATGATTCATGTTAACTTTGTGATTCACCCTTGAAGAAAGAGGCAGCTTTGGTGATCTCACACAATGGCTTGTCTGTGTGCCTGAACATGTTATAAACCCATGCCGCTGATACCGCCCCAAGAATTGGTGAGGTCAGATATATCCATATCCCTTTCCAGTGGTTCGATACAATTGCAGGCCCCAAGGTTCTAGCAGGGTTCATTGATGCTCCTGTAATTGGCCTGTATGAAAAAACAGAATCAAGATTATGAACACTGGGAAACATAGTCAAAAGCTAGGCTACAACGGGATACTTTTCTTGGACATTTAGAATAGTTAGGGTTGTGGGTGCCATTTCAATGATGGAAGTTTTCAAGTGATGGGTTTGGATTAAGTTAATACCCTGCAAACAACACGTTAATCAGCACAGTGGAGCCAACAGCCAGTCCTGCTAATTCTCCAACCTGCAGAAGCAAACAGAACAAATTATGGCAATATTCAAAACTTTTGACATTGTTTACAAAACAAAAAGGATAAGTTAAACCATGTCATTATCAAAAAGGATGAGTTTAGGAAGTTAATTCAGCAACCAAGTTGATCCATGTCATAATGCTTTTTTTTTTCTAAAAGACGGTAAGACAAATCAAGAGATGAAGCAGAGGGGGAACTAACCGCTCTGTTGTCGGTGGCAACACCGGAAACGATAAACATGAGGTAGAATGTGATGATGAACTCCATCACAAAAGCTTGCAAATCTGATCCTTGCGGGGATGTTCCAAAAAAAACATCATTCTTTCCGGTGAACAATAATCGAAGAGTACCGGCAGCCAGTGTTGATCCAAGAAGCTGAGCTACCATATAGGCCGGGACCTTGCATCAAAGAAGAACAAAATAATTAGTTCCTAACCAATACAAAAGAACAAAAAAAATTATCTCTACTTGTCCAAGAAGCCAAAG